CTTACAGCACCTGGTATTCCCAAGTGGTCACCCATCTAGGTACTGACTCGATGTTGCTTAATTTTGGTGGTCATACAGGAACCAGTGTTTCAACATTATATATCTGTAAGCCTTCAACAAAGATGGGGAGGACAATGACAACGACAAAAAGAACAAGAAAAGTAGGGGCGTGTGTGTGTGTGTAAAAAAAAAAAAAAAAAAAAAAAAAAAAATCGCTCTTTATCTTGCAGATAGAGGATATAAACATTGTAAAGATACACACCTCAGTATCTTTTCTTCTGGGGGAATGTATAAAACAAAATCTTTAACATTGATAGTAGTAACTTAGATTATGGCTACAATTGTTAATAGAAAAAAGAAAAAATTACTATATAACAATAACTAAAGTGCACACACGTGTGTGTGTGTGTGTGTAAGCAAATATATGGATATCGATCCGACAGTATGAAGAAAAATATACGGAAAAAAAAAAAACAAAAAAAAAACAAACAAAAATCCTAATATGCAATTATGCTGTTTTAATGTTAATATAATGTCAACGTCGGACATTTAGGTCTAGTAGTCCATCTTCAGGACATATTCATAAAATATAATTAACATTAGACTATATTTAATTCAACATGAAAAGACGATGGACATAAAGTAAGACTAATCAAAACAAATTGTTTTTTTCCGTATATTTTTCTTATATATATATATATATATATATATATATATATATATATATATTTATTTATTTATTTATTTATTTATTAGAAAGAGGATGGATTGACCGATTTAAAAAATGTTTTTTGCAATGTCAGTATCACAAAATGAGTTAAGGGCTCTACAACAGATCCTGTCATCTGTTTCAGAAATTTCTTTTTTTAATTTATTATCAACTGATGTAATTAGCATATTACAATTTTTGCAATAAAGCATGCATATTAAAAATGAAGACCAATTCACTTAATCTCTTGTAAAAAAAATGTGTGTACATTTTGTAAAAGCCTTTCAAAGTGAAGAATCCAAGCATTAGAAATGGGAGGTTACATGACCATACTAGATAACTCCCGCATCGATTGCATCTCAAATGAAGCAGTATGTGACACTATCAGTCAAGAAAGAGGCCTGTTGGAAGACCTCATATCTACTGTCAATAACAAAAAGTTGAAATGGTATGGACAATCTTTCCACTGTCATCTTGCATAATTGGCAAAAAAAAAGCAGCAGCTGACAGAGGGAAGAAATGAACTTACAAGTGAGTGGACTGGAAGATTTTTCACAGAGACTCAGACATTGGCACCATCAGGTGCTCAGCAACCACAACCAGATATAGGGGCATTCAATTATGATAAGTTTGAAATCACTTGGCAGGGATGCTGAATGGTAGCTGGGTGCATGCCAATTTAACAAGAGAATAATTCATGAATTATTTTTATAATTAAAAAATTTTTATTTTTAAAAAGCTAGAGACATCAAGCACATGGCATCCATGTCTAAATCAATTCTTTGTCATTTAATGCTAAACCTAAATTTTATATTTTTGAATTTCATGAATAATTTTTCCTTATTTTTAATAAGTGCACCTTGAAGTTAAAAAAAAAAAAGGTTTGAGAAACACTGCTCTAAACCAATACTGAATCTTATATCACAACAGAACAATGGATGTGTGTGAGTTTTTTTGAAGATTTTATCAAACAAATAGAAAGTAAAAGTTAAAAACTTTATTTTTTTTTGTGGGGTTAGCAACTAACACCATACCTAACCCTCCAATTTTGAATTATCTTCCTAAACTGGTTGTCAACCAAAGTCCAGTCTATCCTTATTTTTCTTTTTTTAACTAAATTTCACTCATTACATGGCTTGAGAGCTACTCAAGGTAGAGGGATACTGTTAAAATGCTTATGTTGAATATGTATGATACTATTGAAAAAGGTGTTTTTGATCAATTGTTTTTTTATGGCTTATCAACCTTTTGCAGGTTATTTAAATATTTTTAGACTGTAAGAATCTTTTTGAAGATAATGATTTACTGATACAAGTTCTACTAATTAATCCATAGCTTTAGGAGGGAGAAGAGATCAACTTATGTACAAATACCCTTGGGGGGGAAAAAAGGTATAAGGGAATATAATGAACCTGACTGAAATTTGGTTCTGATTTCCAATTCTGAGCTGTTATCCATTACACCACCCACACAAAGTTTACAGCACCTGATATTACCAAGTGGTCACCCATCTAGATACTGACCAGACTATGTTGCTTAACTTTGGTGATCAAAAAAAAAGATGGCTGTAAGCCAAAGGATAGCAGGAGTCAAGTACTTATGGAGCAATAGACAGAATGCGGTTGCCATTTTCCAGCATTTTTAGTAATGAATCATGAGTTTATATATATATATATATATATATATATAATTCAGAAATGGGGGGTGTTTAAATGAATAAATCCTATGAGATACATTTTTTTCCTTCAAAAAACTTCAGGATAAATAATGCTTTAATGACAGGATCATAGATACATAAGAGAAAGGAATGAAATACAACATGCATTAATTATAATTATACATTGTGAAATGCAGAAGATGCAGGGATGCTTAACTTTATGCATCTAGATGCACAATCTAGCCAAACCCATCCAGATTCCTACCACTTTTATATATATATATATATATATATATATCTCTTGCTGTCATTTTTAAATATCCCACATTGTAATTACAGTACTATGATTAAGATGATATGCTGAATGAAAATGGATGTAAACTTAGTGTAGAAGACTCGGAAATTAGTACACTTTCTATAAATGTTTATTTTCCCTTTTAATGAATCATATAGAAGAGCTCTACTTATAGTTAGGAAGGGAAAAGGACTTTCATGCTAAGTGAACAGAAACTGCCTCAGCTGAAATTTGAACTTGGTGCTTGAATTCCATTTTCTATGATGTTAGACATCAGGTCATCCAAACATTTGTATCAGTAACAGGCAGAGCGTGTTAATATCAAGATTTTTACCATTTTACAGATAATAGATTAATTGGAAGTTGCTTTTAGTTAAAAAAAAAAAAAAAAAAAAAAAAACCTGACTAATGCAGCACTTGTGATAAAAATTTGGATTCTTTAATCTTCAGATGTCTGAAGCAGAATCTTTCAATTGTGGGAGAAAAAGCAAAGCCACAAAAGGGAGAAAAGCAAAGACAAAAGAGTGGGTGGGGACACAAAGAAAAAGTGTGTATGGAGAGTGGGTGTAGAACCCCCCCCCCAAAAAAAACAAACAAACAAAGAGGAGGAAAAGCAGAATAATGGTAAATTCCAAACTTTTAAGACCATTAAAAATGTCATACCAACAATTAGCAAAACAGTTTCATTTTCTCCCACCCCACATCTCTGAATCTAGAAACATCAACCCAGGGATTATGTCATATCCATGGCTAATTTTCTGATCAAATCTTATGTTTTTTTTTGTTTTGTCTTTTTTTTTTTGGCTCTCACAAATCTCAAATTGAAGGAATATATCCAGCCCGAAATAGATGGCCCAAATTCATTTCTACAAAATCTCATGTCACTAGGTGTACAACAGGGTCAAACATTTTCTTAACGTCTGAATACAATAATAATAATGCCTTCATTCAACAATTTTCACCCGCTTTTAAATTGATTTCAAGGGAAGACAAAGAAATTAAACAGTTTTATATACATTTACTTTGTACATAATAAACAGGTGACATGCATTTTGTTAATTAGAGAGAAAACAAAAAATACAAATGCCTCCACTCCGTAATAGTTCTTGCTTTTTAGTTTATGAAGCTTATCTGAAAGAGTATGAAATTTCTATTAGAAAACAAAGAGGGGGAAAAAAGATTCTTAGTCTAACTTTGTATAGATGAAACCTTAATTATTTTGACACTAGTTCATGCAAAGCAAGATTAGTTAAGTGATTAGTTAATTTGTAAGACAATATCACGATTTGACTGTATTTGGGTGGAGTTATAAAAGGGAGTGGGGGTTAAAACAAATTTACAAAAAGTAACAATTTTATTATTGGAAAGCATTTAATACAAAAATCAGCTAATCCCCTTTAAAATATAGAAAAATAAAATTAAAAAAGGAAAAAAAAAATATATATGAATGTCTGCAAAAGTTGATGTTGAACAACAAATCCATCAAAAGCACAAAGAAAAAAAGGTCAGAATATTTCATTAGCTACAAGAATAAATCCTAGAAAAAGTAAAAAGGGGGTTCAGAATAGTGAAATTGTAAACCTATAACCATGAGAAATATAGAAATTGAGTTGTTTTGTTACTCAATGGATATTGTCATTTAAAAAGGCGCAGTGTAAAGTGTGCCCTATAAACATGTTATAGTTATCCCAATCAGAAATGTTTTGATGGCTCGCTAGTTTACTGAGGGAAAGAAAAAAAAAATAATCTCATAGCTCGTGTTAAAAAATGTCAAACTGTTTAAATGTTTCTTTAAGGTCTATCTTAATAAAGCTTATAGGTTTAAAAAAAAAAAAAAAAAATAAAAAAAGCTTAAGTTTTTCTTGATAGGTAATTTGTTGGTTATTACAGTTTCAGAGATGTCATTAATTTTAATTTGAAGAGAGGGAAGAAAAAAAAAAAAAAATTGATTTAAACTTAAAAATCCAGCCGTTTAGTTCCAAATACTAAAATTTCATTTAAGATAAAGATTCTGATAGCAAGGTACATTTTTTAAAATCTACATGGTGCCCCAAAAAGGTGTGTGTGTGTAGATTATATATATATATATATATATTTAGAATGATAGTTTTAAGGTATGCTATATTTATGAGTAAAATGCACTCAATATTAGGGATAGGGCATATGTAAATATAAAAGCAGACACTTGAGGTCAACATTGATTGGTGATAGTCTGTTTTATTCTTGAACACATTCAGGCAATTATGTTCAAGCATGAAAAGACTGTCACTACTCTGTGTTGACTTCAGTGCCCACTTTTATATGCAATTTATTTTTTTAAATACACATTCATTTTGAGGCACTGTGAGAAATTTGCTCAGTAATTATTCTATCATTTTAACATGGATTTTCATTGAAGTAAAACAGTTTGAGGAAATTATCTTGTCATAAGTA